CCCATCCCCAGGCCAATCAGGGCTTGTAGGCAGGGGGAGTGCGTGAAGTCTCTTCCTGCCCTACAAGGGGCTCAGCACTTAAAGTCAACTCCCAGCTGCTGCTCAGCCGGCAGTTGACTCTAAGCACTTCCTTGCAGGGCGGGGGGCAGGGAGCAAGAGACTTCACATGCTCCCGCTCCCCAGGCCCTGATTGAGCTAGGTGCAGCAGGGGGGAGCACGCTAAGTCTCCTCCCACCGTCAGGGGCATGGGTACCTAGAGGAAACTGCAAGCTGTTCAAAACAGCTGGTGGTTCTCTCAGGGGAGGTGGAGAGGGACAAAGACTTTGCACACTCCCCCACCCCCAGACCAATCAGGGTCTGTGGGTGGAGAAGCACAGAAGTGTCCTGGCCTTACCCCTTCTGCCTGAGGCCCTGCTCCTTCTGGGGTGGACTGGGACCACTTCAAAAATTTCTGAAGTGGCCCCCGGTCAAAAATTATTGCCCACTCCTGGTCTAAAAAAAGCATCTCTTTTCACATAATGTAAACATAGAACAAGCCCATCCTATAGTGTAAGACAATTTTAAGCAAAGCCCTGCCCTAAATTAGACACATCAGGTAAATCAGGCTATAATCCTTTGCATGCCTATTTTATATTCTGACAGGAGTCTTGTTTATCATTAGCTTCCCATTTTATTACTGAACAAAATAAAAAATCAGAATTTTATTTATACAATGGTCTACCTATTAAGAGAATCATATCAGCTTTACAGATTTAAGATTACATTCTTTTCACAGATATGTATTGCAATACTCAACTGCTCTCCCAAGAAGATTCGGCCACAAGTCTGCATTTGTTTTTATGAAAAGTGCATTAGACTATTGCAGGCACTATATACAGGCAATCCCCGGGTTACGTGGATCCGACTTACATCGGATCCCTACATACAAACGGGGCTTTTCTCGCCGTGGAGGACACGGGCAGGGGACAGCCCAGACACGCCGTGGTCCCGCCGCCGAGAGTCGTCTTAAGCAACACCAAAAAGTAAACCATTTGATATGCATCAACATTACATCTTACTGTGTGAAAGTATCTGTTTAAAATAATGTTAGTGACTCTTTGTAATGTAGTGCCAAATTAGGACAGTAGGGTTGATGAATGTTCCCTATCCTGGTACATTGTGCCTGGCTCCACTGTCCATACAGAAAGGGACAGATCTATGTGTGGAAGGTCCACTTCACACACAGATAACAAAGGATCCAAGCACCCTGATGTAATTTAAGGAAGCCTTTGGTGTAGCATGTTTCCGTTTTCATTGTCTTTGGTTTTGCTTCTTAGACTTCTCTCAGGCCCATACATCAGCTTGGATCAGTAGTGGGCAACCTGCAGCCCATGGGTCACATGCAGTTTGTCAAGATAAGATGCGGACAGGCTGCCAGACAGGCTGTTTACTTGGTGCTCACAGGTCTGGCCACCTCCAGCTCCCATTGGTGGAAATAGTACATTGCGGCCAATGGAAGCTCAGCAACCATATCTGTAGGTAAAAGGTAAACAACTTCTCTGGCAGCCTGCTAGTAGCTTACCATGATGAACCGCGTGCAATCCTCATGTTGCCCACCACTGAGTTAGATATTCTACTCTTTCTGCATGATCAGTTTACTTACTGACATAATATAATTACAGGCAGTCCCCGGGTTACGTACAAGATAGGGACTGTAGGTTTGTTCTTAAGTTAAATTTGTATGTAAGTCGGAACTGGAGTCCAGATTCAGCCGCTGTTTAAACTGACCAGCGGCTGACTACAGGAAGCCCGGGGCAGAGCAGCTCTGCCTCAGGCTTCCTGTAGTCAGCCGCTGGTCAGTTTAAACAGCGGCTGAATCTGGACTCCAGTTCCGACTTACATACAAATTTAACTTAAGAACAAACCTACAGTCCCTATCTTGTACGTAACCCGGGGACTGCCTGTAATTATATTATGTCAGTAAGTAAACTGATCATGCAGAAAGAGTAGAATATCTAACTCAGTGGTGGGCAACATGAGGATTGCACGCGGTTCATCATGGTAAGCTACTAGCAGGCTGCCAGAGAAGTTGTTTACCTTTTACCTACAGATATGGTTGCTGAGCTTCCATTGGCCGCAATGTACTATTTCCACCAATGGGAGCTGGAGGTGGCCAGACCTGTGAGCACCAAGTAAACAGCCTGTCTGGCAGCCTGTCCGCATCTTATCTTGACAAACTGCATGTGACCCATGGGCTGCAGGTTGCCCACTACTGATCCAAGCTGATGTATGGGCCTGAGAGAAGTCTAAGAAGCAAAACCAAAGACAATGAAAACGGAAACATGCTACACCAAAGGCTTCCTTAAATTACATCAGGGTGCTTGGATCCTTTGTTATCTGTGTGTGAAGTGGACCTTCCACACATAGATCTGTCCCTTTCTGTATGGACAGTGGAGCCAGGCACAATGTACCAGGATAGGGAACATTCATCAACCCTACTGTCCTAATTTGGCACTACATTACAAAGAGTCACTAACATTATTTTAAACAGATACTTTCACACAGTAAGATGTAATGTTGATGCATATCAAATGGTTTACTTTTTGGTGTTGCTTAAGACGACTCTCACTTTGCCCAAATTCTAACTTAAAAAAATAGGCAACAGCATTACGGGAATCAGTGGAGTATGATGATCGTTGCATAGAATTAAACATTATTCATTATATCTGTTAATTGACTCTAAACTCAAAACCTTGTTTATAACTCTTAAGCCAACTCTTCTCAAGCTAATGTACTTTTTCAGATAGGGAGAAGAGAGGTTAATTTTGTGATTAGGTATTCTATGTGATGAGATCTCAAAGTTTACACTATTATACTCTGCTTCAGTAACTAACTAGGGGGCATTATGCTCTTTCTTTTGAAAATATATCTGCATTCATGACAGATGAAATAGTGTTTAGCAGTAAAGCATAATGAAAGCTTGCGAATTACGATATGCACAAGTTGCATGAAATAAAGGCCAAAAACTCAGAGCTTTAAAATAAGGCAACAGTGCAAAATTAAACAATGCATCAAGAGCTTGCTCAAATACTTTTCTTTAACAGTTTTTCATATGCAATAAGAATTGTACCATACATATTGCTGTGTTTATGGTAAATGCTGCACTATAACACATTTTAGTCAATTCAAAAGGCTTTTTGCCATCATTATGCTTAGTGCTTTCAAAAGTCCTCTTTTTAATCTATGGAATAGGTACAACATGGGTATCAGCAATGTGTCTCTACCACAACCGAAGTGAACCACTTATGTGTAGAAGGATGAATGGGTCTCCATGACCCTTCTGTGAACAATGGCAACAAAGGTGAAAATTATTGCTAACTATCCTGCTAGTTTTTGTGAGAAAGGCACTTGTCTAGTGGTTACTGGACTGAAACCAATAACTCATTTTCCCACTGTCCATCAAATGCAATTGTTAGTCTTTAGATAGTAAAAACTTTTTAGTAACTTCCAACCTGGGCTGGATATAGACTCACAATCTAAAGATGAAAGCACTTATCCTCCAAAAGCAAACCTTGAGCTATTTAGAGTAGGACCAGTGTAAAAAAATTACCCACCATAGAAGTTTTTATACTACAATTAGTATAATCTAATTCTAATCTATATTGTAGACCAAAGATAAACACATTCTCAAATGGCAGTATATGCTGCTAAGAAATTAAGTGCAACATAAATTGCTCAGTATTCTAATGCCTGCTTCTCAATGGCCTGGCAGTGTCAGAGTGCAATAGGACTCTCAGTCCCTTACTTCCTAGAGCAATGCTGCTTAGGTACTCTGTAGAACCAAAGTAGGTGGGTATACATAGAGGCCAATATTCACTAACTCCGTAAGTTGTGCCTGCTAGCTGCTGAGTAGATGGACTGGTAGCTGCCTCAAGAGGCTTCTGCTTGCTTTCACTCATAAACAGAGGAAAAGCAGCATATTTGTAGTCATCTATAAAAGATTTACAAAGATTAATATGTGAGAGATTCCCCAGGATATCATGTGAAAGGGCCTTTGGTCACAGCTGATCACGGCAAAATATTAGAGTTCAGAGGCTTGAATTAAGCTATCTATACAAACTAAAACCAAACAAAATTCCAGCCCCTATACAGAGTTACCTTGCTTGACAGAAACATTTCTTTCCTCTCTCATATTCAATTCAAAACATCCACAACTAAGGCACTAGCATTTCTGTATTGTTGCATAACAAAGCTGGAAAAGGAGAGGGCAAAATCTCAACTCCTTTTTCAGTTTTGCTTTCAAAAGGCAGCCGATCAGATCAAAGCTTAAGTTGGCATAAACTATTTTAAATTATACATTTTATAACATGATGAAAGGTATCCAATTTTGTCTCCACTTGAAGTCGTCTTTGTAACACTGTACTTTTAACACAAGACTTCTGAAATTCAAAACCTACTCACACCAACATTCATCTTTGTGTATTATAGGTCTGATTCATTTAGGGAGATTACCAATATTACTGTGATCAAACTGTCATTTCCTACTCAAGAGTACTGATTTTTCAAGAGGTCCCTCTCCAATTAACAATTCAAAACTATCAATACTCTTAAATGAAGAATTGCCATACTATCACAAAATCTCAGCATGTAGGCTGCATCACTCAAAGCAAATCCAGGATACTGGGTTTGTTATATTCATGACACAAAAGTGAAAGCAACACAAATGAATGTACTTTGTATCATCAATCTGATGTCTCTGTTCTTTGGACCCAGAAAGAGAATAAATCTGGTCCCCTCGTTTGGGACCAGTCAGGTCCTGAAGGTGACAGACCAGGGAAATCCAACCTGTATTGTATATCTAAACCCAAACCCAAATCACTATGGTTTGTGCTAGACCAAATCAAACTCTATAGTTAAAGAAAGTTTCTGTTTTTACAACAGAGAATGTATGGATTTCTCTCTATATTAATCCAGAAGATGATTCACTGGTTGTTGCTCGACCTTCATGTGACAGCTCTCACCTTTCAATTCTTTAGGATCAGCCTGCATTCCAGTAGCTGTGCCAGTCAATACAACACCATCAGCGAGGAAGAGCTCAGCAGCCTTAGCAGTCTCTGATACACTGACATCTGCTGTCAGAGCATGAGCGCTGTAAACAGCAGAAACAGAACCAGTGTTACTTTCAGCATACATACTTGCTATCTACCCTGTTCACCATTTAAAAAACTTTTCTTACAACTCATGATTGTACTTCAGTTCCTTCCATGTTGTCAGAACAACTGAAGATTGGCTTTTTGAGTGTTATCAGTATTGAGGGTAACTGCCCTTTTTTTACAGCAGATATTAAAAACACAATGTGAGTTTGGCACTACCCACTGGTCTCCTTTTCTGGGTCTCTGTCTACACCAGGGTGAGCAATAACATGGCAGCAGTTCGCCAAGGTTATCTCCTGGAGGGTGGCCGCCACTGTATTTACCTACAAGGCTGCAGGTACCAGCAAGCACAGCTCCTGTTGGTTGCGGATCACCGTTCCCAGCCAATAGGAGCATCAGGAAGTGGTGAGGACTGGAACTCCACTTCCTGCAACTCCCCTTGGTAGGGAATGGCGATCCGCAGCCAACAGGAGCTGTGACTGTTAGCACCTGCAGCAGTGCAGGTAAATATAGTGGCGGGGCCTGCCAGGAGTTAACCCTGGCAGACCAATCCAGCTTGTAGACTGGTATTTGACCCCTAGTCTATTCAGTGATTGCTAAATGTGCAAGACTGTCACCTTGCAGTACTGACTGAGGTGGCAGCTTTTGTACTGAGTGCCCTGTTTTCATAGATGATGAACTCTCCTGAGTTCAAGTGGAGTTGTAGGTGCTCGGCTCATCTGTAAATCAGGTCTTATTCTTCCAGAAATTGGACTAAGTATCACTTCATTTCATAAAGGCCAACAAAAAGTACTAACTTTCAAGCATTAGCAAGAACTATATCCTTGATATTTGTCTTTGGAAAAAAAAATGAGCACAGCTATCATCTTCAAATGGTAGTTGCTTTATGCATCCAAAGATCGGCCATTCAAATTTTAAGCAGTAACTACCAGTAAGATAGCTTCAGGGGGTAGCCGAGTTAGTCTGTACAGGATAAACTTAAAAAACAACAAATGGTCTGGTAGCACTTAGTCTATAAAGTGCTATCAGACCATTTGTTGTTTTTTACCAGAAAGACGGTATATGTTAGCCTCTTTTTCTGAGATTTATGTCTATAGAAACTTCAGCTTTATACAGCTTCACAAATCTGAGAAAGTTTTAACCTTTGAAACATCAACGTTTACATGTATATTTTCCCCTTATCTTTTCTACTATAGAATCAGGAGATATAATAGTTAAGAAAGATAACATTACACAGTAATCTAATATGCTACTATGGTAGTGCACTGCATTAACCACAAAATACCAGTAGTCCTGGGACTATTTTGTTTCTTTTTAGGCCAACCAGGTCTGGGAATAGAATAGAAGGAACTTGCTTCATACATATTGAGAGGCAGTGCCTCTTTTGGCATACTCACTCTGCCATGAACTCGGTCAGCAGTATAACTGATCTAAAAAAATAATACCAAACTACTTTTCACTACTAGATGGAAGGTCATAGTGATGTCAGTGCCTTGATGAGGTTGTGCATGTGTAAAAATATGGAGGGAAAAAACAGAATGCACGGAAATAAAAATCCCTAAAGCTAATAACAAAAGATAACCTGGGAAACAGTTTGTCAAGTTAGAGAATTGGATACTTCTAATTCTTAGTGCTAGGCATTTTGTTGTTGTTAGGGAAAACACCACAGCCCTGTAACCCTTGCCCTTTACTTCAATAATCCTGCGAATATCTGTTTCCCATAAACTGGTTACATGACATTCTCCTTTCCAATATTAACTAAACAAACAACAAACACCACATTGCATCAGCCTATGAACAATTCCGTGTACACTCTAAATACCAGTGTTTCGTATGACAAAGATGAAAATACGTGCTTGAAGAACCAAATTCTGGGACTTTTCAGGAGAAGAAGAAATATTATTGAATGGATGTTCAGAATATGCAGAAGTGAAGTTAGAAGGAAAATGCTCTGAAGAAAGTGCTTCAAACTTATGTTGACAATGTTGCATTGTTTCATTTATTAAAAGAAAATTCTTAAAAAAAAAAATCAGACATTTGTTAGGTTTAAAACCTAGCTATTTCTGTGACTTTTCCTGCATCCTACAAACAAATCTTTCTTGAATTCAAGCTACTTATGTGCAAATACAAGATTTTTTGGTTCTCTTTTTCTGAACTAAAGTTCAAAGAAACATCTAAAGAACTGAAATAACTGTTACAATTGTAATCAAATGTCAGTTGGAATTCAGAGCTGTCATAAAATGCTGCTGTCTGATAATTATAAAACATACTCCATATCCTCATACAGCATTGATTTAAAATTGAAGAAACCAATATTAGAGGGAGGGAAGAGATAAGAGCTTTTTAATGTGGTAAAATCTCATTGTTTGGATGGGTCTCATTCGGTAGCCAGTAGGGATGTAAAATCCCGGAGAATCAGTTAACCAGTTGAATGTTAGGTCTGCCTACTGTTTAACCAGTTAACTGACTAAAGTGGGATCCCAGGTTGAGGACTACTGTAGCCTAGCTGCCCCCAACCCCCCACGCTGGGGTTGGCTCTGCTGGTCCCAGCTCCTAGATAGGAGCTAGGGCTACCACCAGATTCCGGCTGCTAGCCCCTGCCGGAGCAGCTTCTGCCTGTGGGGTGCCCAGGCTCTCCGTGGACAGAGGCTGCTCTGTGGGAGCAGACCCTGTCTGTGGCAGGTCTCCTGAGTTGCTGGAGTAATCCCCTGCCTGCAATAGGTAGGGCACTTCTTCAGTCCTACCCCCCATTACTGGTTAACCAGAACTGGTAAGCATTGCTAATTTAGGATGATGCTTATCAGTTAAGCAGGTAATCAGTTAAACTTTCAAGTCCCCAGTAGCCACCCACATAACTTGAAACAAAATATTTTAGATGCTTAACATCATGAAACTTGATTTATTTGTAAACATAACAAGAAGCTGAAGCTAAATGATACGCATCACCTTATGTCAGGCACAAGACATTTACAAATTCTTTAAGTTAAACAACTGCAAATTCCAGAGATGTAAAAAGGTGTAGTTTACAGGTGCAAGGTTAATAGTTTTTCAAGACCTTGCACGAGCAGTAAAGTTCTCCCAATATTCACTTTCTGAGCAATTATAAAATGTACGTAAAATGAACATCAGATCTTTTTATATTAACACATATATAAATAGCACTCATATTTACCTGTGTTTCTTTTTAACATCAGCAAAAATTTGAATATGCTGTGCTCCGATTTGTTTTCGGTATCTTAGCAGGTCACCTGCACAGGCATTTATAATCCCTTCATCAGCAACATGGGAAAAAACAAACCCTTCAACTCTGATAAAATCAAGACCTAGAAAAAAAAATTGAAATCTGAAGATGAAATTGAATCATAAACAGAGGAATTACGTATCTCCTCAATATCATCGTTTTAGTCTACAGTATTCCAAAGCTTCTCAAACACTGGCACAAAAAGCAAGTCTCTTCTGATAAACAGTTTTTAAAGCATAGTTAAAACTTAAATTAATGGTTTTTAGCACAACCCACCACAGTGGCCACTGGGTGCAGGACATATATCAAGTACAAAATAAACTGAATTTCCACAAACAGGCTGCTCATCCCTGACATGGTTTGTGCCTCCCATGCCCACTACAGGTTGAACCTCTATAGTCTGGCATTCTCTGGTCTGGCATAATTTCAGTTAGCTGGGTGACCACTTATTATGGATGTGGCCAAGTTTCCCTCAATCCCATAAGGTTTGTTTACAACCACCTGTCCCAGCTCTCAGTGTTCTGTGATGTTGCTTAGCTCTAATTTACCCTAAATGTCTTCTAAGAGCTCAATAAGAAGTAGAAGTAATGCTGCTAGACAATATTGACTTCCCATGGTTCAGCAAATTCTCTGATTTGGCATTGGTCAGGTCCTGAGAGTGCTGGATGAGAGAGGTTCAACCTGTACAAAGAAAAATCCCTAAATTGGATGGTGAGATATCTCCTAATTGCAGCTAAGAACCAATCTTTGAATGTCTATGTACAGATTTCAAATTTTAAAATCAATTTCTAAAACTTTCTGCAGTTTTTATTTAATTGGTCAAATTTAGAGACCTCGCCCTATAATCCTTACATAGGTTGAATACCTATTAAAATCAGAAGGGAGTTTTGCTTGACTGAGGAATCAGGCCCAATTAAAAATTATTTTCAGTTGTGAATTTAAAACATTCATAAGTAATCCAGTAAAATGGCAATTCTCAAACTTTTGCAGACTGTGAAACACTATTTAAGACAAGAGTGCACCAAACTCATATCTACTGTGCATCAACTATAGCATTTGATTCTATGAAGAAGCAACAATTGATAATGAAGGAATACAATGAATCTATATAGGGCCTTGTCTACATTTTGAGATAAGGTCAAATTTATTAACATTGATTTTTTTAGCACTCACTTTTGTACAGTTGAAGGTGCATGTCCCCACTGTGCACAACAATTTGATGTAGTTCAAAGCAGTGCATCCTCAGTAGGTGGCTACCATTGACTTTGAGAGTGATGCACTGTGGGTAGCTATCCCACAGTTCCTGCACCCCTTTGCACTCAGGGTTATGTTCCCAGATTTCGCTGGGACCAAAATTATGCAGCGGGTGGTTCTGGCTATATATCATCAGCATCCCATAATACCACACATCTCCTCCCTCCTCACCTGCTTGATAGCAGTCTTTCTGCATGCTTTTTTCCCCGGTTATCCATGCAGATGCCATAGTAGTGTAAGTGTGGAACCCGTTCAGCATCAAAGCATTACTGTAATCATGTTAACCATGGTTATGCTGGTGAATACCCAGAGCATATCCATTGTCTGCCAGAATGAGGAAGAATCTGAGGAGGCCATGAATATACTCTTCTGCAAAGCACTTGAATAGAACTACTGGTAAATGCCTCCAGAATTTGATTCTCTGGACACGGTGAAAAGCCAGTTCTGGTGCTGTGAGAAAAGCACAAGCTGGTAGGGCCACGTAGTTATGCAGTTTGCAGA